ACGGCGAGCTTTGGGGCTCAAGCCCCCCCCCCCCTCCCACCCCACACTTTTGAAAAAGTATATTAAAGAGAATTAAATAGAAAGAAATAGAAAAGAAAGTATGCTCATGTAACCGTAATTAAATGCCCATACCCCTGAGCTAATTCCGGGGGCTCTGCCCCCTGGACCCCATCTTGGGCCCTAAGGCTGGCCCCTGGATGCTAATCTGACATTAATTGTAATGCCTAAAACCCCTGCGCTTCCGGGGGCTCCGCCCCTTGGACCATACGCCAATTAGTGACCTGCCAGTGTCATGAATATGGTATTAAAATATGCTCATCTGACCGTAAGTACGAAGCCAGTGCACGTACAATCGATTACAACAGTAATTGTGGGGCCGATATAATAAAAAAAAAAAGAAGAAAAAAATTGGATTTGTATAGCGCCTTTCCAAAGGTTACAAGGCGCTGCTTTCCTAGACTTTCGACAATTTAAGAGGAGTTGTACAGATGTTTTTTTGAAGAAATCTAGTGAAGTACTGTTTCTTAAAGGTAAAGACCAGTAATGGTCATGCGATTGCATTGTGAAAGAAATGTTGTGGAATCGATCAGAAAAGGTCGATCATCTAGCATCTAGCATCTGCAAGGTTCTGGAATCATCAAAATGATAAGAAATTTGGCTCATTCTTCGTAAAGTTACAAGCACTATACACAGAAAGATGTATATGGGACTACCCTATCTCTCTCACCAGACCATGAGAGAAATACATTTACCAAATATATGAATTAGTAGGCGGTTTCCCGGCAAATTTTTTATCATCATGTATTAGTCAAAACATATTCTTTCACATGATTGGTAATGAGAGCTTCCATTTCATTTTTTGAAATTGGGGCGTTGCCAATACTGGTCTTTACCTTTAAGAAAGAGGGGAGTATATCACGAGTATGCCTTCATAGAATAAAGGTTTTAAAGAAAATATTCACTTCTACTTTCAAAAGGACTGGCCCATTTGCTTTAAAAAATTGTAGAGAGTTATTATTATGTAATTTCTAGAAAAAATGCCAACCACATGATTTACAATGAGTCTAAATACATTGATTTGCCGAGTTTCTTCCTTTTATCAAATATACACGTAAAACAATGGGGGGACAGACTGCGCGGATAGCAATTCGAGCAGAAAACCCGCATATTATGTCCAACGGACGAACGAAACTGGTAGGACAAACGGCGCGGTCACACCGGCGCTCCCTCGAGAACCCCAGTTACATTATACTGGATTTTAGCACTAGCCACAAGCTACCGGTTTATAGATATTTATCCTTTCTTCCTCATTCTTCATTTTTGTTATATCCTATATAATATTTCCATTCACCCTCTTCTTTCTTCTTCCCCTCAATCTTTTATTTTCCCCTTTCTTCTTACAAGCTTACAATAAATAAACATTCTTTGTTTATCTTTGTAAGTCAGTCTTTTTTTAATTTTTTTTATTGGCAATCGAACGGCGATAATGATTGAAATAGGCCTATACCAATCATACGAAATATATGATGCGGCATATTAGGAGATAATGAAGATTAAAATCGTAAACTAGATTCTACGTTCGCTGCTATACAATTTATGTAGCTGAGTGAAATATTCACTCAAAAACTCGCGAAGAAGTTTTAAAAAGTGTACAAAGATTTATGCGAGGGGGCGCTCTTGCAAACAAAGCGAGGTTTATAAGTAAAGCTTTTGTTCTAGATTTTCCTGGTATTTTGTATTGGCTTGCATTACAGTGCAGTTCCCCCACACGGGTTATTGATCAATAGTTGTTATTCGCATTAAATTCAAATATACTATTCTGTACTATATCGATCGTTGGGGGGGGGGGGCAGTCAGCGTACACCCTCCCCCCCCCCCCCCCCCCTCGTCCTTTCCTCTTTTATAGGCCATCCATTTTTGCAAAGTGTATTTTGATGTTTAATAGCATCTCTATTTTACGAAGCTTTATTTTCCTGATCCTCACAAAAATTCTAAGGCGAGTTTTACATAGCCACAGCAAATATCTACAATTTGCCTTATTTCTATTGAAAATTTGCCCGGGGTCCCGGGGGGATACTCAAATTTGGTTTGAACAATTTGCAAATTTATGAAATTTTGAAAAATCGGAGCCATTTTTAAGGGATTTTGTTTTAAGTGGAACCCATGTTAAGGGATTTTTTTGTGAAAAAGTGACCCATTAGAGCGGCGCACCCCCGTATGTCCTAATATGCGAGTACAGGGGCGGATCCAGCCGCGACGGCAGGGTATGGGGGCCAAAGTGGGGGCCCGATTCGTGATAAAATATGTAGCGGCGAAACAGCCAGCCGGTGAATAAGGGGGGGGGGGGGGGGGGGGGTAGTGAGCAACACTATTCTTTTGTTTGCCCCGGCCTCGAAATTTTGAAAATTCGCACCCCCCCCCTTGAGGCCCATCAGCAACTAAAGGTAAAATTAACCTGTTTTTCCCAGGGGAGGGGGCCCGGGGGCCCGGGCCCCCTCCCTGGATCCTCCACTGTGCGATTACCCCCCCCCCCCCCGGGAAATTTTCCTCAGAATTATATAGATGAACGCATGTATATAAACTAAAACGTTTAATCACCATTAAGGGCCACAGAGCGATCACGTTTTTTTAAATGGTTGATTCAACACTTCAATAAATGCTTGATGCAACCTTTATGGTGTCGAATCAAGACTGGAATACATTTCGAAACACCCGTCGATAGCTCCGTTGGTAGAGCGGAAGACTGTAGACAAGAAATCACTGACATCTTTAGGTCGCTGGTTCGAATCCGGCTCGACGGGGAGGTCTTACAATCATTTTTCTTATGGTAGATAGACTATAATTTGAACTTTCTCTATAATTTTACAATTGTAAGTAAGTACAATGTACTTAACAAACAACATAATTGTTGGCATGTTGCATTTACACATGTATATGACTTTCGTATAGAAGAAGTATTATAGTGAACATTGCTATAACAAAAAATATGCTCACAAATTCATTCCTCAGCCCTTCTTAATGGTGATTAACATTAATTTTGTTGTATTGTTTTCGTATACGCTAAACATTTCCGGGGGGGGGGAGGGTCATAAATTAAATGTTTCTACCGTAATACCACATCAGACTGAAACATCCATTGTGCTTTATATTATGTTTGCTTATACTAATAAAGGTTCGTTAATATATACACAGGTTACATAATCTCTCTGTTTGAATGAAGAGGGCGACCAATTTAAGTCCATTACAAGGATGGTGACAAAAAGTCGTATCATCACCATATAGCTGGAACCACAATGAAATGTGGTGAGAAATAAAAACAAGGCATATATAAAATCAAAGATGTATTCTGCCGGTAAATTTCTTATTATACCAAAATACCTAAAATGGTCCCCAAGACAATTTCGCATCGGTACAGTAGAGATTACTTATTTTTCATTTTCGGCTGGTGATAATGAAGTTCAATATCTTGTAGCACTCAATAAAAGCGAAAACAATTTAGCCAGAGACAAATATTGTAGAGGATCGTTGCCATGTATAAGCCACGCCTTCTCCCAAACGTGCTACAAAACACAACAAAACAGTGACGGATCCAGGATTCCCTAGGTAGGGGGTGGGGAGGGGGCGCTGTTTAAAAAAATGATTCATCACATCTTCATGTGCCGTTTGAAGTCTGAAATTATTACCGAAAAGGGGGAGGGGGAGCATAATTATGTCCATATGTGCCTCATGCCCCGGTTCACCCCCCCCCCTTCCCGGTGGAGCTGCATGCACTATTAATGAGTAACAAAATAGAAGGGAATCAACGGAAAGGGGGTGGGATAAGGCATGGACCCAGGGGCGTAGACAACGGGGGGGGGGGATGAGGGGGATGCATCCCCCCACCTCACAAGGTGGGGGGATGGCATGTACAATCACCCCCCCCCCCCCAGGTTTTGGGGAATGATATTTGCTTACTTAATAAGTCATAATGATGATTATAATAGTAATAATAATAATGATAACAATTATAATATTAATAATAATAATAATTATGATGATGATAATAATAATCCTCATCATTATTGTAATTGTGTTTATTGTTATTAGCCGCATTCACACGGTGAAAGCCAATTCAGACGGTAAAAAAAAGAAAATCTTACAAGTATTTTGTGGTTATCTTGTGGTTTGGAAACCACAAGATAACCACAAGATTAAACAGGCGCGGATCTACGGGGGGGGGGGGGGGTTAGGGGGTTTAAACCCCCCCCCCTTGGGCGGCCCAAAAAACAAACAAACAAAAAAGGGAAAAAAAGAAGGAAAAAAAAGAAAAAAAGAAAGAAAAAAGAACGCACGCTGGAAAGAAACCCTTTCAAGTGCAAATATTGTGAGAAGATATTCAACTCATCTGGTAACTTAACCAAACACATGATAACTCTGGATAATAACTGTGTATTTAACTGTTACTTGATTTAAAAAGACGTTATCATGCACTGCTTTTTATGGTCTCCATTGTGTTAATAGATGCCAGGAAAACATCACTTACGGGGTTCAAATAAACACCCCCAAAAAATCGGGTCGCCGCTTTGCGGCTCGTGGACGATGCTCCGCATCGTCATTACTTTGGTCAACCCCCCCCCCCTTAGCAAAAAGCTAGATCCGCCCCTGAGTCATCCCCCCCCCCCCCCAGGTGTACGAACCTGTCTACGCCACTGCATGGACCTACTATACGGATAAGGCACATGAAACATCCCCCTCCCGTATCTTACGAGGATTCTGCCCCACCAATCCCCTGCATGTATGTCATTTTCTGGATACGCCGCTGTTTATGGGTGGTCAAAACATAATTCCTTTTAACCAGGATCCACTATTGAAATACATAAATGACAACTTCCCGTTATTATTCAAAACAACTGCAAACAAACCGGAAACAAGAAGAAAGAAAAAAGATTTAACAGAACAGCCAGGAAACATTTAAAATGGTTGCAAACAACACTTGGTTTTGTAATGCAGGGGGTACTCACCTTCTTTTTGTTGTAGCACTTCAAAAGCAATGGAGATGTTGTCTTCCTCGTCAAAAGACGAAGCTCGTGGTCGGAGGCAGCTCATGATGTCGGATGATATTCACTTAGAGATCTTGATCAATACAGTACAATCCTAATATGGCCGAAAGGTTTCGTTGAACTGATTTTCGTACGAATGAAGAAGAGATTAAAACAATCTTCTTCTCTTCTTCTTTTTCTTCTTATTCTTCTACTTCTTCTCCTCCTCCTCCGTTCTTCGTCTTCTTCTTCGTTTACTCCTTCTTCTTTTTCGTCTTCTATTTGGCGTTCTGCTTAGTCCTTCTGCAGTGCTACTTCTAGTTTCGAAGATAACCGCACACACTTCAGCGAAATATCCTTGTTAATTCTGTGCCCAATGGAACGGAGAATAAACTTGGACTAGCTGAAACTGCTTGCAAAGCTATAACCTCTTATCCAGGGATGTGTTGGCACATGCAAAACCTGACTGGGCGCAGCTCCTTATCTGCCATTAACGAGTTACTAGTACATTAATCTGATCACCCACGCCAAAGCTAAGCGAGTTCATCGAACTTGGATATGCCCACAGTAAAAGAGACGTGGTATACCTTTTCCAATCCAGATACAAAGTATCTAGTGTGTACCATATCGAATGTTATGCAATCACAGTACGAAGGTTAATCCTTTCTCAATGAAAACAAATTGTTTAATTGAACTCCCTTTCCTATCACGATTTCTGATGCAACGGATAGTAACGATTATTATGGTTTATAAAGCAAGATACACGAATACAAATACACGACTCTGTTTCTATTCGAGACCATACTGCAGCATCCGCGTGTATACAGCAGAGGGTTGCACCATGGACCTACTACGTCATTTTAATCGACCGTTTCCACTCATCATTTTTTTTCTTGATTGGGATACGAATCCTAGCACCCCAGACGTACAGGTTCAATGATTAACCAATATTATGACCGTGGTACAGCGCATCCCTTTGCCTATAGATTCACTAGTAACGATGGGGGGGGGGGGGGGGGGGGGGATCTGAGACTATTATGATACGAGAGAGAGAGAGAGAGAGAATATGAGAGAGAGAGAGAGTATGAAAGAGAGAGAGAGAGAGAGAGAAAGAGAGAGGGGGGTAGGGGAGAGGGGGTATGAGGAGGGAAAACAGGGGGGGGGGGGGGGGGTAAAGAGACATATAACGAGAAAGATAGAATACAGAAAGAGAATGGAGGAAACACAGCCCCAAAAAACATTATGAAGAGAGACAAAGGCGGTATATTGAGAGGGAAGGATATATACAAAGTAAAAAGAAAGATAGAGAGAGAGAGAGAGACATAAATATATAACGGGGAAAACGCATAGAAAAGAATCAGACTCAGAGAGAAAGAGAGAGAGAGAGAGAGAGGGGGAGGGAGGGATGGACTCGTTGCAATTTCATAAAGTTTTAGCAGGCAAAACAGCTTTGCTAAAAAAAAAAATTGAATTTGAGTGGAGTCACAAGTAGTGTTCGCTCTGTTCATAAACGCAACGGCCGGACTTTAGACGCCAAGACTAAATAAGCTACTAATTATATCACGTCTTCAAGTGCTATTGAAACAGACATCAGCTAATTCATTGAAGAAAAAAAAAATCGTCGACAGATCTTTTGTCTGGATACACATTCAAGATGTCAACATAAAATATTACAACGATATTCAAGCTTACATTATTATCAAAAAGAGCGGGAAAAAAAGCTGGACTTTCGACGTCAAGACACTATCAATTAATAATTGCATCACGTGACCAAGTGCTAGCGGGGTTTATGTCTCAATACACATCATCATAATCTATAGGCCGATATCATGTTTTCCAGGTACAAGTCAACTATAAGTTGGAAATGATAAGGCTCAACATAACCAAAAACTGTTCAATTTTATTTTTTTAAATGAAATGTTCGCCAAAATTTGCCCATACAAATGAGCTTTAGTGCTCAATTTTTTCTAAGCTTGAATTTCTTCTTACTTTTTTTGTTGGTTGCTATTTTCTCAGTGAAGAGGCAACAGAACTGAGTGTTTCGTTTGTAACAGGTTCATAGCCAAACTCATTAGTGTGTTTTAAGAAATAAAAAGAGAGATAGAGAGAAGTGGCAGAGAGAGAGAGAGAGAGAGAGAGAGAGTGAGAGAGAGAGAGAGAGAGAGAGTGAGAGAGAGAGAGAGAGTGAGAGAAAGAAAGTGTGAGAGAGAGAGAGAGAGAATAACGAGGTAAATATAAGAACATCGTGCAGTTTATCTTACTCCAGCATTACACCTTTGAAACAAAATCTGTTTTTCGTAGAAAAATATTTTCTCCCCCTTCTAACAACTTTCCTCTCCCTCTTTTTCTCTCTGTATCTCTCACTTCAAAACAAATTCCTCTCTCTCCCTCTCCACGAGTTCACCCACCCACACGCACAAACGCCGTCACCTATCTCCACACACTTTCTCTCCCATTCTCTCACTCTCTCTCCCATCTCTCTCTTTCTCCATCTTTTTCCATCTCTCCCTCTCTCCCTACCCCTGTCCTTCGTATATCTTTCAGTATGTCTCCCCCTCTTTCTTTCTCCCACCACTCTCTTTTCTCTTTCAATACTACTTTTCTCCCCTTTCTAATTTTAAATTTCCTCCAAGTACATTGTAAGCATAAAATATCATAGCCTACTAAATTAATGAATGAGACATTTGATAAGACCTATTCATTTAGTATATTTCTATTATTGTAGAATAACAAAAACAAGCCCTTAATATTGAAAAATGAAATTACTCATAAGGAGTCACTTTTAATCACAATTACATACAACTCTTTCCAAATGATTCATTTCCACAGAACACGGTACAATCTTTCTACTGACACCAATTTATTTACACGAGTCCAAATACCTGATTGTAAATGCAATATAAGAGGAATCCATTACTGACAATCATATTTCAACAGTTTATCCTGTACATAAAACTTTCGATATAAATATAGTTCAACAAAAACAACTATCATACAATATAAAAAGTATACAGCATTTTATTTTACCCTAATGTTTAGGAAAATATACATATCCAACACTGTAGCATTAGCTAAGCTAGTGAGCTACGTTAAAAAAAATGGGGCCTAGTCTATTATAGCCCGATTTAAATATGGCCGAAAATTCAGAGAACCTCTATTTAATAGCTAACATTTATTTCTAAAATAGTCTGTAAATAATAAATGCGGTGTGTGCGTGGGGGGGGGGGGGGGGTAGGGGTTTGTATTGCTGATTAATTTATAAAGTTCAAAATGAAATTATAATAAAACATTATACATTAGAGTCCAACGTATAGGACCATTCTCAATTTTAATACAAAATGATAGTGTTCACAAAGATAATTGAGTGCAAACTATCAACACAATCTTGCTAATGACGTCAATGATATTCATAAGGAGAAAGATATCAGTTCCAATAGTCAACAAGAGGCAGATAAACTTCATACAGAAGCATTATTTGACATAATGTCAAGGGTTTTAAAAACGATTTCAAATGCATGTAAGCTAAGCTACGTGTTTGGGTTGAGGGGGTCGTTGTGTTGGAGTATGTTTGTAAGTATGTATCTTCTAGTGTGAAAAGATGGAAGAAGCATTCCAAATATTACTATTAGGTAGGATTGTCCCCCCCCCCCCTCCCTCACCTCCCTTCTCCCCCCGCACACATAATTAACACGTTTTGAACGAATACAATCCCGCTGTCATAAACATCGGTATTTTCAATGTTATTACTGCGATTGTGGAATTTCCCAAAGACCATCAAATCTAATGCCTGGAAAATTCCATGAATATATAAAAATAATAATGATATTTTATTACGTTAAAGAGCACCGAAATTTACCACATAATTATATACACTAAAAGTTGCTCATTTATGCACAGCCATGTATATAGTAGAAAAATTAAATATTTCTCTGTCCTGCTACAGATATCGAAGCGACATCATTAAGATAACAACACAAGGCAAAATTTATATGCACTGAAATTTGCATATATCGATAGAAAATCATTCCCATGAATGAAGGCATTTGTCATCATAAAATAAGGTAATCGTTTCTTAAGACCATGCTTTCCAATTTCGTTTATCGTTTATATTTCCAAACCAAGACATTTAATATCCCTTATGCCTATTTCCATTAAAATGGAAACTTAGTGTATTATATATAAATTTATATTCCACATACTAAGAATCTTGCTCTACGATTGGTCAAAAGTAAATCACGTGATGAAAGATAGTTCGCCCATTATTGATGGGAGAAGCAAAAAGTTCGTTACACTGTGTAGATAGTACTACTATCTACACAGTGCAACGCACTTTCACTGAAGATGGAGGTACTATCTACAAAGGGCAATACACTTTCACTGAAGATTATCCAAAAGCGCACTAAAACAGGCGTAATTAAGTGCGCATTACGAATGAGCGCAATTAAAACAAACACATGTGCGCACCGTACCCTAACCCTAAAGGGGTTGTTGGGTTAAACTGTTTAACTTTTTTGGTGTGAATTTGGGCATGGTGTCTTTTATGTAGATGCATACACGTGCTTTTCCTTTTGTAGTTAAATTGTTTTAGATGTGGAATATAAAGCAAATAATCACCTTTTGGTTTCAGGATGGCAAACTATCACTTCCTCGTCGATCAGAATGTACACGCTATCTTTCCTCAGCTTCGCTTCGGAAAGATAGCTACATCCAGATCGCCTCGGAAGTGATAGTTTGTCCCATCACCTTCACCAACGGTAGTTATTTGCTTAACATATAAACCTAACTTGTAAAGTGAAAACGTTGATTTAACATTTTTTTTAAAGGCTCGATAAAATACAATTATCTGATTTAACGGGTAATACTGATGTGCATATTAGTAGAATTAAATGTAACAATAAATGCTACACCTTAAACAGAATTATCTATGTCATTTTATCCTCCCCCTCACTAATACACTAACATAATACTGCTAGCCTAAAATTGCGTAGATTGATGCAATTACAAATTCAAGTAGAAATCAATATATATTTTTTCTATGAAAAAGTCTGAATTCTCATCTCAAAGTAAAAATTCATGCCACCCTTCAGCAGCTTGAAGTAGCGCCACCTATCGGCAGCATGTTCTCATTCTGTGGTTTGGTTCAAACAAATTCGTCAAGGGGATTCAGTATACCTTAACGAAAGTATTAACGTATTACTCGATCCAATATTTTGAAGAAAAGAAAGATTAAATGATACGTTCACTGCTTCCCATAATTTGTTTGCATATTTGTAAATGATGTTAAATATTAAGTTTAATTGTGCCAAATATCACAAATATAAAACCCAGCGATTATGGCAATGTTTGAGATCCATCTTCAATATATTCTACTTGAATGTGGAACACATTTCTCATATACAGCTTGTCTCCAGCAATAGAAACTTTACATATTACAAAAAAAGTAATATACCTTGAAATGCAATTACAATTGGCGGGATAGTTCGAATACCGTAAGCGTTTGTTCGCTCGAATGACGGTTCGGTGGTTGGTCGATAGAATCCGCTGCAAAATTATCAAAAGTTAAAACTCTCAATCCTGGATCGTCAGTGTCTTTAACCCTATAATGGTCAGTCTATATGTCCTTATTTGTTCATGTTATCTCGTTATTTACAAGTGTGGACGTCGATAACCCGAACACACTCTTTGCAGACAACTTTGCAACACCAGACGAAGACACAGTCGCACCTTTCTCTCCTCACCACTGTCATCGTGTTGTGACCGCGGCCGCAGCAGAGCAGCTCGCATCCGTCAATGCCGTGCGAGGTCCGGTTACACTCTCTGCCTTGCGTCCCAAACGATCCTACCTCCTGGTCGAAAGTACAGTAATCGGGTGACTGATCGTAATAGATGAGATCGTTGGTCGTCGGTTCCTTGAAGTCGTCGTAGCGAGGGGCCAGCTCTTCGACGAAGGTTCGACCTTTCCGTTGTCGTTCGACGGCCATCTCTGCAGCCATGTCGTACTTGGTCTTGAGGGCGTCCCCGAGTTTCCTAAATGGGGCCATCTCCCACCAGCAGGTCTTGAGTTCACAGCTTCCGGAGACACCGTGGCATTTGCAACGTAGTTCCATGTTATGGAGGACAGCCTGCAGAAATAATAATAATAATAATCAAAAACCTTTAATGAAATTTAAATGAGAAGGTAGAGGCCGAGCAAGTCCCATGTCATGGACGCCAATACTAATCGAATTCGTAACTTCACTATGCCCACCCCCCCTTTTCTCCTGCCCTATGTAAACGAAGGGTCTTGTATATACCCAAACATATTAATTCAATTCCTGCTACACGACTTGAGTAGCTTGACTAATAATTATCACAAAGATCATTAAAGATTCGATAAAGATAAAGCTGCAGCTAGTTGAAGGTCCTAATCAGCCTGATATCATTTTGATTATGCCAAGAATATCTAGGCAGGACGATTGATTGATCAAAAGAATGAAAGAAAAGACGAATGAAATATAATAGAATAGAAGATATCCGTGATTTTGACTAAATTTTGTTTAAAAAGAAGAAAGAAAAAGAAAAAACGAATGAGGAAAGGGGAACCAAAGGAGATGTGTGTGTGTTCTTTTATCCACTGTCATTGAACGTAGTTTTAGAGCCATTAGGGCGTTAACTCTGCGTTAAAACTGATAATTATGAGATAACACCCTTCCGGCTCTGAGCGGCGATCATAGCTAGCTCCTTACATTTCTTCCTGCATCCGTATTATGACGGTCCATCTTTGTCCTCGCTCTCTTGGCAGCGGTCGGCTTCAGGAAGTCCTTCGTCAGCTCCATGGAGTACCAAACCTCCTCGCTGCAGCCGCCCCATCGCCAGGTTGAGTTCGGTACGATGCCGATCCGACCGCCCGGTGGACCACGGTGGGTACGGTCACAGCCGCATTCCAGGTAGTCACCGCGTGAGCATGCCCGCGTGACAGCGTGGGTCACGCCCGCGGCAAGGATGGCATTGACGAAGGCCGTCTCCCTCGACGCTGCAAGATAAGATAAAAGCAAAATAGATATTGAATATTAATTTCTAAGACTGTTTGTCTGATTTCGTAGAATCAGAAAAAAAGAAGAATCTGCCTTTGTACTATTTCCGCCCTCAATGTCAATGGTGATGGTCTAAGAACGATCATATTAAAAACTTAATAGAAAACAGGTAGGCCAAAGAAGTCGTATTTCATTATTGAAATCATGATTTTTGTTACCAAATATGATTTATCAAAATGCTATGGTGAACATTTGGTCCATTCACCGCAAGTCTGTGGAGTGTTTCACAAAGACTAAGATCGACTTTAAGTTGGATTTAAATATGACAGGCTATTCATGCCACTGGTTGTTCTCACCATTGGTCTGTCAATTCTGATCTTTACATATTATTTTTTCCTTCAATAATGAACAATAAAAAAAAAAAAACTAAATTCTGTAGATGTGTGACCATGACGTGTACGTCCTTTGAGAGACAATTGCCAGTAAATGGTGAGAGCAAACAGTGACATGAACGGCCTGTCATAGTTAGGTCCAACTTAAAGTCAATCTTAGTCTTTGTGAAACACCCCTGGTTACATTACATGAACATTTGAATCAAATCGCACTAATTGAACCAATTTGAAAACGTGTCAGTCCACTTACCCCTGTCCAGCACGCGGCCAAACACGGACTGGTCACCGTCGATCGTGGTGCAGTTCCATCTTCTCCCTCGGAACTGGAACTGGCACTCCTCGATACCGTGATAGGCGCCCTCTGCGACCGTCGGCATCTTATCCTGGTTCTTCAGACAGAAGCGGACCTGTTTGCCGGATATGTTGGTGATGCCTTTGCAGGGGATCTCGACCGGTTCCTGTGCTGTTCCGTAGGCGGCTCCAAGGAACCTGGTAACATCGGATAAAAGAAAGCAGGCAATGAATTTAGATGATGTTCATCAAGGATCACTGATTATTATACTGATGCCTCTCATTCTTTTGTTCGGTTTGCTCAAACTTGGTTCAGTTATGGAGCAAACATTGTATCAAGTAGCACACAAATTGTGAGAAGAGGCCTGCCAATAACAGACTTTAAATAGTAAGGAATGCTGTTATTCTGACGCCCTGATCGCGTTGGACTAAGTTGTACAGTGCACCCATCTTATTTAAGGAAATATTGTTCATTTACATAATCTTGTGTTCAAATATTGAAATCCTTAAAAATAAGCATGCTTAACGTTGTCACGTTCACGTTTTTTATAAACGATTTTATCTTTCTCTTCAAACCTTGAACAATAAAATTGAGTTCAACCATTGCTAAGAGCTATAGTTATTGTACGTGAAATCTTAATATATTCCCGTAAATAATCAATTCCAGGACTATTTAATATACAGGTGTATCCAGTCCAAGGCCTGGCCGAAACAAAAAGAAAACAAAGCAACCACGCATGTTTGTTTAAAAATCGAAAGGGCTACATTATCAACTGATTGGTTTATTGCTCTGTCACACACAGGGTGTGGGTCACAATTTGACTTTAACGAGGGGTTGTGCGGATGAGGAGGCAACCGCAACAAAAGTATCATCATCAAAAGTCGATCACACGGGAAAAGACACTCCTAGTGCCAGCATTGTTGGGCATCGATCGCGAATTAGCGGTTAGTTTATTCGAGAAAAAATATGTGATCAATAAAACGACATGCATGTGCTACAACGAAATAATATAGGTTCAACGCCCTCACACTCATGAGAGGGAGGAAAAGAGAGAGATAATGATTGCAAGGGAAACTCTATTCAATGAGGGTCGAAGCCCATTATGCTTCGACGTCTGACTTTTATTATAGCACTCGCGGTAATAGGTCTAGAAATATCGTATATTACCGCAATTAACCAATTAAAGCATTAGAAACCCCCCAAATCAGGGGGAGGTGTTGAATTTATATCGTAATTATACCCCAAAACACAACTGAAAGTCCGCGGAGGTTTCGTGGGCTAGAAGATAAGTCTCTTGACTATGAAGCTCACACATGGCATTATAGTGTATTTTGGCTAGACATTAATCTGATATCTGTCGGTCTCTACCCAGGTAAAGTGTTGGGGACCAAGTAGGAAGAAATACATTGAACTAGTGTCCTCTGGCTAGACATTTTGTCTGACATCTGTCGGTCTCTACCCAGGTGAAGTATTGGGGAACCCAGTAGATACGCCAGGTACCCTGGCAAAGCCGGGATAATCATGGTAGGAGTATTGAATGCATGGTCCTCATGGAGAACATAATTAAATCGGCCTACTGATGAGGTTACATCGATCAAACAAGACATAATGACTATCCTCATTATGCAGGTTAATTAGTGAATTGGACTTAGTAATAGTAATCTACTTAGGGTAGTAATCTAAAGTTCCAAGTTATCTGCTTAGTCAGGTTTCACCACTCTTCCCCCAAAACCTTGGACAACCCAACTCATCCCCGCGTCATGAAAGACACACAAAATGACCGGAAATGCTTCTATCCTCCAAATAATACTCTTTTATAGAGCGTGAAGCCGCTCACTCATCATTCTTTGAAGGGTCATCCTTTTGAAAATCCACCACCGTGACACCATGGAACAGGTTGAAAGAAAGACTAAAACTTGTCTTTGTCCCGTCTCCTGGTAAATTGATATAGATCCATGTACAACCGCTGAAGAGAAAACAAATGAATTTAGTTCGATTTTCTAGTTTTTATAATGAGGGTATAGATCTTGGTTTCCCTCCCTCTTTTCTTTTCCTGTTGGTCCTTTTCTGTTCTTCCAATTCGTGGTCAAGTAATCCTAATTAGTTCGTGTAATCTCTGAAAGTTAAGTTGATAGTAAGCAAACATGCTAAACTGAAATTCAATTGGTCAAATAACTACAATTCATGTTCTTCTGTTAATATAGTCATGCTTTATCTATAAAATAGACCTGTTTCATTTATTTTAAGCACTAAGCGCTCTTTAAAGAGGTATCGTGACATTGTATTTTGAAGCTTTTTATGGCAGAAACCCGACCCGATTCCTACCTGACATAGCAACAAACAATCGCGCAATCAACGTGAATTGTTATAAAAACTATGGACTAATGGCATGATTCCATTACTAGAAGACTCACTGAAAACCGTTATCTACCCCAAATAATCTACAATTTCAGTCAACCCTTTGACGCCGCTGATATAATAGCTATAAATCAGGCACCAATTTTGTAATTTTGCACAAAGAGCCAATAAAGACACGGCCGCAGTAATCAACAATACATAGCCTATATATTAAGAAAAGCTTTTTGTAATCGATGACTTTCTGGGTCAGTTGCAGTAATTTGTTTGTGAGATTCTCTTTGTCAAATTTTTAAATGTTCTTCTGGAGTGCTAAGTAATATTTTAGTGAAAAATATTTTAAATAGCCGATCGAAATTCTTCTTCATTAACTTTCCTCATGATCTTCCTCACTATAATTCATAGTACTTGAAACTAATGACTCAGTTCATCATCAGGGTTCAAATAAGCAAAACAGCTCGAAAAATACGAATCCGTCTTCCTCAGAAATCACCAATATGGAAGGGGTTTACACCTCAAGGAGGTTACATCTTCACAGAAAATGGTTTGCATCTCGAGTGGAATTGCCCAAAATTTCTCTATAATGCTGAAGACAAATTCCCAAATCGATTTCGAAGTGTTATGTTAACAACCAGTTTGCTTTATTTTTTAGTTGAATGCGCTCAAAAATACTAACATGTACATCGAAGTATGTATATCCATAATCTCGAGACGTTGTTTTAAGTTCCTGAGGTTTTCTGATACAAAACTTGAGACTATGTTCATGACCTATCCGTCTGGTGTAAATTAACAATCGTCATATTTCATGTTTGAATTTTGACACCGATTTTTTGCGGGGCAAGCTTGAGGTTGCTAAGCAATAGAGCTCAAGATCTAGTTTAGGATATTTTGTTTTTACTGAGTATTAAAGAAATATGGAATTTCCATGAACTGCTGGAGTGATACGAGGTATAGGATATACCACAGTATTGCAGTTATGGCAGCATTATGAGGATGCAAGCCTTGATTTCTAAACTATCAGTAGGTTAGATTTATGGTTTCGTCCTAGGCGCACAATGAGGGAACATACCAGTAGATTTATTTAGATAATAAGGGTTAAAAAAGGTAGTATCATCATTAGTGGCTGCAGCACACGAGACCGACGGCCCACAAGACCGACAGTCCATGAGACTAAAATATTGGTCTCGTATAAAGCTTCTGACAACTGTTCTGCGAGCTTATGTGACTCGAGAAGGCGCGGTGGCTCAGTGGTAGAACAGTGGTCTCGTAACCGGGAGGTGCGGGTTCGAAACCAAGTCGATGCACTGGTGCCCTTTGGTAAGGCATTAATATTCATTGCCAGGTCCCTCGGAAAGGTCTTAAAGCCGTCGGTCCACGGTAGCTTACTTACAAGCATACACATGGTTAATTAGCTGTAAGGTAATCACAATCACAAGAGGACTATAGTAGACTTGGAAACCGGAAGTGTAACTTTATTTTAGCTGAATTTTAAGCAATATTGATTTGGTTTGAAGCAGGAGCCCTTCAGTTCCCCGACCGCTTCTCCATTTATGATTTATAGCGCATTTGTCCTAAAGGGGTGTGAGGGTGTAGGGTAAAGAATAATGGGCTGCCCCCTATTTAGCTGCATCCCCTTCGACACTGACCCGCATCTTTGGCTAACATCGGATACCAAGCGATCACCAGGGCGGCTCTTGGAATTATGAGGCGTTGGTTTTGTGGGGGGTAATTATTCTCATTTATGATTTTGTTGACCAAAATCGGAGGCGCCAGTGGTATCATCAATTCGACTTCCGTGACCCGGCTTTCAACCCCTCGAGGAGAGCCCAGATAGAGGTTGAGTGGTTTGAACTCGCCAAAAAACATTCTAAAACTCTTGCATAGAAAAGGGAATTATTTACTTAATCACTGACAATGCTATACTCAAGGCCGCGGTGTGCATTGTCATTGGTTGGTGTAGAAGGTTATTAGCGTAATGATACGAAAATTCCGCATTAAATCCATTGTGAATGTACCCCACGCGAATCTCTTTGATTCTTTAAATACAGATCTGAACAATGTAGACCACATGTGTATGATACCCATGCAAAGACGGATGATCTAATTGCGAAGTCATTCTGTAATGAGGGTAATGGCTGGATGTAGATATAAATCTTTCAAATTGCCTGACATGGAGCTTCATTTCATAAAACACAAAAACATTTAAAAATCATATTTTTGGGCTTTGTGAAGGATATCAATAAATTTTGGATCATCAAAAAGAGTTTTCAAATTCGTTCGTTCGTGTCTCCTTAGATCAAGATTACTGTAATCTTGATCTTCGGAGTAGTTGCTACAACCGGCCGTGTCAGACACGTTGCCCCGGGGTGCGAGATAGGACTCTTGTAGCGTGCCCCGTTTTCAAATTACAAGATTTAAACGGATTTTTTTTAATGCATTGCTCTTAGTGATGATGATCATTTTCACCAAGACAGAATACTACGCAGGTCAATAGAGCCATAAGAAGTTGTGTCCCCCAGTTCATGATTATTTACCAATCTGACACCTTATCGTTGTAGCATGTTTTGTTTTACTTGCCAAATTTGGGTTTGTTGAAAATAAACACCACGATGCACTTGTAGCCATATTAACGTTTAGGATGACGTTAAGTGTCAAACTGAGGCCGAAATCCGTCACATAAAATTCCAATCATGACCATGACCTAGACATGCTAGACATCGTTAGTATGCAATTATGTGTCAAAAACTATGATTTCATCAATTCTAGACATAAATCAAATGTTCGCCCTGGCTGTGAAAGACATCACAGGTCAATATATCATTTTAAATTGCCCACGG